GGACTATTGTAGGACAGAAGAAATGCACTTGTTTGTGGTTGTTACAATCGCTAGTACAATGCATCTTTGATCTGAGATTTTAACAATTGGCAAAAAAATAATGTTAGATTGAAAGTCATTGAGTCATAACTTCAAGAATATCAAGGCTATCTGTGTACTTTTGATGAAGTGAAATACAATATCTGTTCACAATAAAAGGGGGCAGGAATTTTGGACTTTTTTCAAATTTTAAAATACCCACATTGTCCAAATTGTCCAAATTGTCCAAAATTTTATTGAATCGTGACTTAAATGAATTGTCCCATAATATTTCTATTCAGATATATTTATCTGATGGATTATAATCTGATTCAAGACTTTAAATACTTGAAATGCCATCTTTATAAAAATAAATTATAGAGAAAATTGTATTTCCACAACCAAAAATCCCTACCCACAAGTCAACTGCGAGATGAGGTGAGGTTCAACCTGATGTAACTGTTCAGCAACACAATTTATGTTTTTGACCCAACATTCTGAATCACTAAGTCATGCTGAGTACACTATGGTAATGCCCAAAACTTTTAGGAAAAATGTATAAAAGATTAACTAATTAAGAAATACAAATCATACCCACTTGCTTATAGCGTATTTCTACAATAATACAAAAATCATGTATTCTGTGTCATATTCTCAGCTCGAGCGCTTCACCTCTTTGTTGCCTTAGGCCCAACAGCTGCACTACTCAGTCTAGAGAGAAAGTCGGACTGCCTTCAAAGGGAAACCTGCAGCACTCAGAGAACAGACATCAAACATAAATGAATTTTGACCATTGGAGATGCATTGAAAAAGCAACTAGATCAACCATGAGTGTACGAAGCTGTGGTTTACATGCACCCACATGCGAACCCTTTGTTTCAGAATCTCTCCCATCTTGTCAGTAGCACTCAAGAGGCACAGGCCAACTACAGTCTGTGTGTCTTGTCGGGTTTTGTACACATTATTATAGAGCGTGGTCATGCGTGAAATGTTGAAGTGGTAAAGCTCATGAACATGTGTAAAGGACACATCTGCATATCCAGTCATGCATGTAGAAACTATGAATGTATAAATTAACAACAGCTGCACCTATCGAATGCCAAATGGATTAACAATGCAAGTTGTTTTATTTTAATAAGTTGGTTGGAGTCAGCCCGGCGGAGTATTCTTCTGGGTAATGATCTCAAGAAGTGCTCAATATTTGAGCTGTATATTGCACAACAGGGACATTTGGAAAACGTGTACAGTGCAACAAAAAGAGTAGAACAAACAACAAAGCTAAAAAGTGTTAGAACAGAAGTTCATGAAAAATAATTTCTAACAAAACATTTGAGGATGAGGGGCCAACATGATGTGTAGTATAACTTTGTCCAATTTCAAACAGGGTCATATGATTAGATCTGTTACAATAATGACTATACTGACTTATCACTCAATACATGATAGATGAAGCTATAATTTTGGGGGGTTAATATTTATTGTAGGAACTTTTTCTTTGTACTTTTTGTTATTTTTTTGCAGTATGTAGTAAGATTTCAGCTTTAAAGGGTTGAATAAAGATCTTCTTTGATACATTAAGTGTTAATAACTACTGCACATAAATCCTGGTTAATCCTGATATGGTTAATGTGTCGGTGACATAAAGTGATTTCAGTATAATTGTTTATTCTCAATATTTATATATTCAGCAATATAACCTACTTGTTACTAATTATGTTATCATGACAGGCAAAATACTTTTATTTAAATGTGAACTATGTAACATTTTAGTGGGGGGGTTGTTTGTCTGCATGTCTCTGTGGTAATGTTATTGCTTTGCCTGGAATGTTTTACAGTATGGCATTAAACATATCTATCTCTGACATGTTAGTGCCATATGAACCATCTCACACTCTGAGGACCTCAGGGGCCAGCCTCCTGCTGGTGCCCAGAGTAAGGACTAAACTTGAGGAGTCAGCATTTCAGTTTCATACAGTTCAAATCTTCAATAGTCTTCCTGAAAATGTGAGACAGGCCACCATTTTGACTATGTTTAAATTTAGGCTCAAAGCTGTGCATATGACTGAAAGGTTTTTATTCTGCACTCTTCTTTTTTAATGTTAATTTATGATTATTTATGTATTGGTTTGTTTGTATTGTGATTTTAATGTTTCTTGTTCTGTAAAGCACTTTGAGGTACCTTGTGTATAAATTGTGCTATAAGGCTTTGCTTTGCTTTACCTACCTTGAATGTATTATACTTTCATAGAATACATTTTGTCTATAGGTAGGTTTCTTCTCCACAGATCTGCCCTGTAACTTGATAACTGAAGAGATAGATAAGTTTAATGCCATATTGCGAAGCATTCAAGGCAAAGCAGTAACATCTCCACAGAGACAAGCAGGTAGAAAAGCTACACACAGCTATAGCTATAATATAAGTTTTTGCATTTTTTGTTACAGTGGGGAAAACAAACTACCCACTTCCAAGCTCTGATCTACTGCCTCTTTGCATTGTACAACAGTTGTTACATCAAGCCTGGATTTCTGGATTTCTGTGAGCGTGTGCTTTGTGTGGTCCTGGGGAACACAGAATGAAGTGACACGCGGTCCGCTCCTGTAAATGAGATCTGCCTGCTATTTGCTGACCAAGCCCGAACCAGCTGAAACTAAATATACACTTGATCAGTAAGTGTAAAGCTATAGGAGCATGAGCCAACACCTATGGGAGAAACAGCTGGAGGAACAGCCTGCTTACATGTGGCTTAGACTGCGGACTCATTTGTATAGGCTACTGCATGAATAAAGGACAAAACATCTCATTTACTGAACACAATCTCTACCTATGAAGTAGGGCTAGGCTGAAAAAAACATTTCTTTTCCTCATATTGATCAATAGCATTTTTTAAATTTGTCTTATTATTATTATTAACACATACTTTTACGGAGAATTTGCTGTTGACTTCTTCATTTAAAAGACCCAAGCTGATCACTATTAGAAATGTATAAATATTGATCTTAATTTCAAATTGCCCAGCTATACAATGGAAACTTTTTAACATATCTGTCTTTTTAATGTCACATCCTGATTCACACATTCTGCATTGTATTTTTTATAGTGAATTTATATTTTTACAGACATTCTATATTGTTTGCTCATTTTGTTAAATATTATTCAAACTATTTCTATCTTGTTTTTGCCTGCATAGACACATTTCTGTTACCTGCACCGTGAAGAGAGCTAAGAGCTGCCCTTGACAAGAGAATTTATCGTCTGTGAGATCAATAAAGTTCTTTCTTGTCTTATACCAAATAAATCATGGCTAGGGTTTTTAGCATGGATATTAAACAGAACATAATTGCAAAGAGAAAAAAAATGCTTAGCAAAGAGATTTGGCAATGTTCCAAAATTTTATGGTCATAAAATATCTATAATTCAAAAATGGAAATGTTCACTTGATACCATAACATCTATTTAATCATAATGTATAACCGTATAAACAAAGTCAATGAAACCCACCAACTGAGAACAGTCTGGAAATCCAATTATAATCAAGGTCATGATATAAAAGATTATAAAGCCTACTGTATCCTTCAATATTCCAGGGTTGAAATCATCCAAATGATTTTAGTGGTGTATAGAGTTTAAAAAGAGTGAAGCACTTTATGTATTACCACATGACACAAAAGATGAATGAATGAAACAAAACACAACTCCATGTATGTTTGTGCTGTGATTATATCATCCAAAACAGTGTAATAAGAAACTGTGAGGAAAGCAACAACGAGATCTTGTATGACATCACTCATCTTGGTGACTAATTATGATTTCATAGTATGTCTGTGAAGAAAAACAGCACCCACTAATACTGATGTCACTGGGGTGTCACTGGGCAAACCGTAGACCAGTCAGAACTTCCAGGGAAGGTCCTGTCTCTTGGCTCATGAACAAGAACAGAGGACTTAAAGCTTTGGCACCACGGAGACATTGTGCACAATTTTCCAGTATGATGCTTGGTCACTAACTAAACACAAATAAGCACTGTGGTAACACCAACAATCCACTGACTATAGATTAACTTAAGCAAATAGTCAAATAATGAACATTTAAGTTACTTGCATCAGATACTGTATTTGGTACCTTACAGCAGTCTTGGATACATGGATTGTAATCAAAAGTAAAACCAGTACTGAAAATAGTTTAAAAAATGTCACAAAGTAATGATACTAAATACAAAATCAGATCTTTCCAGAATAGTTGTAAATGGTCATATATATATGTGTGTGTGTGTGTGTGTGTGTTTTTGGGCTGAAAATTACAATCAATTCTCTAAGAAGAATAGTAGAATAGTGTTTGAGATTTTTCTTAGTCAAAATGTAGTTATATTTTACTAACATGAACAATACCTTATAGAGAGAGACAGTACTTTGTCAGATGTCAAGAAGAAAAAGCTACCAGTTAACTCCCCGTCCTTTCTTCAATAAAAATGCCCCTTTTATTGTTTACTTGAGCGGACAAGTTGTTATTTTCTGTCTGAGAGCTGCTGTATGGCTCCCAAGGGTCACCAGTAAAAGTGGTCTGTCTGACTTGAGAAACCCTAACACTTGCCTCTGCTATCTTCATCGATTTTTTATGCATTTTCTGACAATGCAATATGTTATATTACAAGTTATTCTCAAAATCTGCTTGTCACTTGTGTAATATAATCTGAGCCATGTCCTCTCAGCTATCTCAGCAACCACATGCTCATCACTGGGATTATCTGCACTTCTTTCTTCATCACTCGGGCTCAATCCAACACCGCATAGCCTCTCTCCTCTACACTTCCACTGCTGCTCTGTAAACATGGACCAAAGGGGTTGACAAAGATGGCAATCTCCCCTAGCGCTGCTCTAATCATGATCAGCATAGAAATTGGTTCAGCGTATGTGCACAGCGGCTTGTGTTGTTTATCTGCTATCCAATCACAGTTAGACAAACAAAGTGAATGCATTGTTCTTACCTTTTTTGGAGACTTCGCTGGTGTGACTCTTATTCCACAGCATGCAGTAGAAGCATTCCCATTCATTCCAGAAATCCTGGTTTTGTCCCTCGCTGTACGTCCCTCCTCTCCTCTTGCTCGTCCCTTGTCAAAAGAAGAGAGGCAGCATTCAAAGCATCCCTTTGTTTTATGCTACAGCTGACAGCCGCCTTCATGCCTCAGATGATGGGGTAAAAAAAGACCGGAGTATACGGCATGCTGCTTTCTCTCCTCTCCTCAGACTAGTAAGCATTTATGTGTTTTAGCTTCTTCCCTCCCTCCCTTCCTCTCCTTGTCTCGTGCCCTACTCCGCTTCACCCTCCGCGGCTCACTGCTACTGTCGTGACGGTGAGATCGGCTCTACGCGTGCGGAGACATCTGCGAATGTGCTTATGTTTGAGGAGGGTGGTAGGGGGGACTAAAGTAGCCTCTTAGCTGAGATTGAGACCACCCCCTCCTCCCCTTTTAGAGATGGGCTTTCTAATGGCATGTACCATTAAAGCTGGGAGCAGGGTGGGCTGCAGCATCGAGCAGCGGTGAGGAGAGAGAGAGAGAAAGGAGGTGTTGGTGTGGATAAAATAACTAGGAGACACAATAGAAGTCACCTCAGTGCGCTTATGTGATGCAATGCCATATGACATGTGTGGTATGTAGGCCATATAGAGGTGACCTTAAATCAATATAATGATGGAGAGAAGGGCACATCTCAATTATGATTAATGGCCAATTGTTTACAGTTGGTTAGGTGAGTGAAATGGCTTTAGCTCTAAACACAAATGACAAAGAGAGCTGGCTCAATAGGATACTCAAATTAATTAAAGAATCAATGATGTGAACATTCCTATACAGTTATGAAATTAAATGAAAATTATATAAGATAATTACAAACAAAACATGCGTGCATGTTATGTCATTTCCTGCCTGGATTGAAGAGTTGTTCCTGGGAGGGCATCTGGATTTCTGCACATTTACAGTGATAGTCTAGTAAAGGAAAAGCAGAAAGCAAACAAGAAGCAACAATATCTAATAGCTTCATTCAGAACTTGAAAAACATTTTTTAATGGTGTCTGTACATAAAAGGAGTACTGAAATAGAGTGTGTGAGATTCAGCAATACAGTTTTGGGTTCAACATTGAGGGTGAAATACAAGAATGTGGTTGGGAAAACGAATTATTGTATCTACAGTATCTCTGCCGCATCTGTAACTAACGAGAAGGGCTGCACAACTTTGGGGGGAAAATTGTGTCTGTTGCTTTTAGGTTTGCAATATATGTTGAACAAGTAGGATTCTGTGCACATTATAAGCAACTCCAAGAACAGAAGAACAACCCCATGGATTTCAGAACATGCTTGTAAAGATCTAAACATTCAAAACAATTGCAGCCTTCGCAATTTGATGATTTTGTGCCACCTCAAACTGAGAGTGCGTTTCAATTGCAATATATTGAACAGCCCTATTTCAAAGCCAAATGCCAAGAACAACCCGCTTCAAGCCCACAGTAGCTTGGATACACTCCAGTTACTCACACTGAACAATTACAGCAAGAACTGAACTCTACCATTTGAACAAATGTAATGATTTTGTCGATTAGCTTACGGATTCAGTTTCATTTTCCCCAATTAAATGCTCAGCCAGAACAGACTGAGTTAATTTAATAAACGACACAGCATACTAAACTCGCTGGTGAGCTTCCCTAATCCAAGCCAGTTCCCTTCACGCTCCGTGTACGTGTGCATGGTAGACATGTTTCATCCTTCACAAAAACGATTAAATGGCGCAGTCTGGACATAGGCACAATACATCACAAGCACATATGTTGTTTTTGGCAGCAGTAAGTCACTTCTAGTAGAGATGAATTTGTATCACATTTTCTATTTTCTTATGCATGACACATAGAGAGAGAACTGTGTGCAAATTGGACAAAAAGAAAATTTGCATGATACTAGACACACCGATGTTTATGTTCAAATAACATCTACATCTTTCGTGATTGACAGACAACCTCCCACCTCTTTATTCTTCCAACACATTTCCATCACCTCCAGGAAGTGCATCATGTAATTTCAGGCTTGAATGAATAAAGGGCCAGTGTGCAGTGGAGGTGAGACAGCGTCTGGTCCCAGGCTGAAAAACACCATAGTGGCCAGTCCCTCCACCTCCGGGAGACCACAGGGAGACAGCCAAAACCCAGGGAGCGGTGGCACCAGTCCAACCAACCAGCTGATCCAATCCTGCATAGAGAAAAATACATAAATAATACTGCATTTGTGTGGTTTAATTGCTCCAAGGCAAATTCATCACCTTTCATTACACTGACATTATTATTTTTTTATTACTTAAAGGTGTACTACGTTTTGTTTCTGGTGGTTCGGTCTGCCAGCTTGTCTTCATGGAGATGTCATGCCTTGACTGGAATGTTGTACAGTATGGCAATAAATGCATCTGTTTCCATGGAAACAGGGTGATGCCACCAGGCCAAGTTACTGGTGAGATATGTGGAACAGTGATCCCAGTTACTGAATGTTTTTGTTGTTGATTAAAAAAAAAAAACAACAACAACTTGTAATTCAACAATAAGGGATATATAAAATTTATACAATGGAACATTACAGGAAAAGCAATAACATCTCCATCCATCTTCTGTCAATGATATATAGTTAGTTAGAAAAATAAAGTTTTGGTTGCATGCACAAAAAATTGGCTGAATACTGCTTTACAGTTCAGTGTATTATTCATTCTTCAGTCACGCAAGAGTTGCTATTTCTGCCTGTGGCCCCTCAGACCACCACCAACCACATTCACACGTTCACATTGTATTATTGTCACCACCTAGTTTATATGCAGCCCTGTACGTGGCAAAGCAGTATCTCATACTCATCACCACCTTGAACTTCACAAGTTTTTTTCTGCCATGGACAACAGATGGGTCTTATACAGTAAAAGGGCATTATATTTATGTAATAACAGAATTGCGATTTTTAGTATTACTATTAGATTTATGCTTAGGGTTTTAAAATAGAATTTTTTTTTTTTTTTTCAAAGTGTTTTTCATTTTAGGATTTACTTCACTTTGTACAATTTTAACCTTAAAAAGAACAAGGACATTCTTCAAATATCTAAATAATATTAACCTACAAACTTGTGATTAAATCATTGCAACCAGTGAAATTGTGATTATAAGCAACACGCAAAAAGATATGTAATTTTTTCAGCCATCACAGTGTGGTCAAACCTCATGCCTCCTTCTTTTTTATAGCTTCCAACACATATAATTGTAGGCATGGTGATGTGAATGTCTGTAAGCCTGAATCATCCAAGGAAGGCCTCTGATGGTTTAGCAAAGACCTGCTACATTTGGATGCTGTGTGAGATGTGATATTTGGAGCAGAGTGTCCACATGGATCTGACTCAAGTGACTGCACTGAATCAAAAACATGACAAGAAAACGTCTGCCCAGATTTGGTCACACAAGTGGAAAAGCGCATACAGTTAAGTTAAAATATAAAAAATAAAAGGTAAAATATTGAGCTAAAATGAATGGTTGTTCTATTGTATTACTCTTATTGCTACTCAGGAAGGACAAAAATATACAGTCCGTTTAGAAGCTAATGTCTGTTCCAGCAAATTTTTCATTGTCAGTGTAGATATCCAATACCAGTATTGGTTCAGTGCATCCCTGTTGGATACTGTTAGTAATAATGTGTGTGTATATGACACTGAAGCTTTAAGACGACTAAATACTAAATACAGTGAAATCATATTTTTGAGTTATAAGAAAATCAGTATAATCTATAAAGAGGATTAGGTGTTTATTCATGCGCCAGAGAATGCCTTTTCTAGCACTATTTTCACCTCTCCTCACTACTGTGCATTTGTATTCTTTACAAACCCGATTTATATGCTGTCAGATAGGACAATAGTACCCCTACAATAGAAACCACCTCGCCATCCATGTAGCAACAATATGGATTTACCATTAAGATGACATGTGGACTTAACTACTGCCCCCAGTACAAGGCTATCACAGTCTAGTCAAGTGCACAGTGAATTTAAGTGTGTTTTGATCTATGAATGTGTTGAAACAGGCTATTCTAAAGTGCTATAAATAAGCTCTGCTGATTACTGCCTGACTCTGGCGTGTGCTGTCTGTCAATGTGAACACTAGGCCAAGGACAGCAGTTTTGGTTCAATTTATCAAAAATCTGTCCTCAGATATGATCAAGATTTACTGCTATTAAGGTCATTTAAGGTACACAGGGTATGAAGGTGGGAAGACTGCAGCATTCTACTGGATGTACATGTTAAAACTAATTACTATAGCAAAAAATTCTATAAAAATATTATATGAATATGTTTATGTAGTTACTCTATAAAAATGTTTTTACCAGTGAAACGAGAACATTTATACAACTTTTAGACTGAAGGTTTTCTTGTAAGCCCAAACTTATCAATTTTATTGTCTTTTATATCTTTCATGTGTATGCAGATATTGTTAAAAGATTAGATTTTAGAAAACAGGTACACTGCCTTTAAAGTACCAATTTTTTTGCTCTGTGTTATAATGTTCTTTCCTTCAGGCTGAGTTCTTCTCTTAAACAGAAAACACTTGGTCCCACTTTGTGATGTCATGTAGTAATACAATAATTGCTCCACTGTGTTTTTCAACTCCATATACCTTTGCTAGAATTATCTGGATGATTTCAGGCCTGGAAATCATCCAAATCTAATCTCTACTGAATCAAAGGTAAAAGGTAGCTATTAACTTGAAAATTACTGCTACATGACAAGGTCGAACAGAGCATTTTGAGCTTTGGAGATGTAGACAGACTAATAATAAGGGTTACTCATACGTGTATGAATAAAAGAAAACACAACTCCAGATATGTTGATTATGAAACAACGCTGGCTTAAAACTCATCAGAGTCAATTTTGCATAATATAAGAACTTTAAGATGATAAAGAATATGTATATGTCAAATGAGTACATATACATTTTTCATCTGCTTTTGGGGGCCTGTGTAAGCTATAAGTCACACTAACACAATTCCTTTTTAACATTCAAACCAAAACACAACCCTTTTGACGTGGGACCTCTTTTTATCCTGGACACAAAGGCCAAGTCCTGACAAGAAACCAAGGACCTAATGCTGCCATAATGTAGCCTCAGCCCTGCCAGAGCTGAGTGAATGGAGCAGCGCAGCAGATGGAGGGGCCAGGGCTTCAGCCAGACCCCCTCTCTCACCGGGGGTCTCATTCACATCTCACTCTCACACAATTTACACTGGACATTTGTATCGCCATTATGACTGTACTGAAAGAGTCAAAGAATTGTTTTGAAATTCAAATGGTTCTCTTGACAAGGCATAATTTTTCAAGAACTACAATTCAATTCAATTCCAAAAAAAAAAAACCTTGTTGCTTATATATGTATATATATATATATATATATATATATATATATATATATATATATATATATATATATATATATATATACACACACACATATACATATATATATATCTTCATGACAACAGGCAGGTGACAAACCAACCAAAGTTCAGATCAGACTGGTATGGACTGTGGATAGGCAAGCACGCTCACAGTATGTTTTAGCCATAGACTATATAAAAGAAGTGGACTAAGTGAGTGTGACGTCCTCCATAGCGTTCAGTACCACTCAAATGAGGCTCGCAATGCTAATGATTACAGGAGCGAATCTGAAGCCAGGCTCCATGCAATGAATGGGATATTTTTGACAGACAAAATAGCGAAAAAATCATGTAGAGCGGGTTAATACGAACATTTTAAGACCAAAATGACGAGGCTCACAGCTGCAGTTACAGAGAAAGAAGCGATGAAATCTCACTGGAAGTCAATTGGAGCAAGGGAGCCGGAAAAATCTCCTGGCGCACTTACTATTTGACATGCGGTGGCTAAGGCATTAGCTATGTCCACTCATATATACGGTCAATGGTTTTAGCAATAAAACAACAGGAATTCAATAATTGCATGATAAATAAATTTAAAGCCAGACAAAATTCTAGTAAAGTAATAATATTTCTCCAAGGAGACAAGCAGGTGGTAGAGTGGACCACCAACCAAAAAAGTGACATTATGCAGTCAGTAATGTAACTGATTTCTGCTCACTATTACATTTCACTTATTTTGTCTTATTGCCTAAATGCACCTATTTTGCACTTTAGACTATACTTGAATGTCAGTCCCTGCTCAAACAGTTTACTTTGAGACTACATATTAAAGAAAAGCTGAAAATTAAATATAATATGGCACAATACAAGATTTGATAAAATGTTAATCTTTAATCTTTCATTTACATTTCCCATTATTGTATCGAGACAAATCAACAATACAAGTCAATTTAGGCCAGAATAAGGAAGATGAATGTTCCCTGGTGCGCTTGTGAAATGTAGTTGTCAAAAGCTCTTTGTATTCAGCTCACAGCGTGCGACACTTTCTCACAATTGAGTTTTTTCCCCTTTTGTGGCTCTTGCAGGATGGCCCGGAGGCACGCACTTTTACCAGGCAAACAAGGAGGGAGAGAGGAAATAGAAACGGCTGGTGTCAGGGCTGTGTCAGGGGCAATTATGGGGCTCCATGGGCTGCATGTGATGAGTGCAAATGTGTTGGTGTGAGTGGGTCCAGAAATGTAAGGATACACAATGGGGGAACTACAACTGCTTTATTACATATGACCTGACTACTGTATTAGAAAGAGTCTATTCACATAATATTATGTAGAGATGGGTGCAGTAAGATTTTTATTTATTTTTTCTAAATAGTAGATATAATATAGATATTATGTTAAAGCTATAGTAACAAACCTATACTTCAGAGCTGATATCATCAACATTCCCTGGGAGTGTGATGCTGATTGAAAGCACTGATCTAGAAGCTCTGTTACTGAAATTTGACTTAATCTGATCTTTATTTTCACAGTCTGGCCAGAAAAAGCTGACTTGGTTGGAACTACAACAGGTGAGATGATTTGCACTGTTAAACAAGTCTGTCACATGTAAAATTACTGTGACAAGCTAGCTAGCAGTTTGTCACTCTCACCTTTTGTGTTGAAAAGCAAACACCTAAACAGGACAATGAACGCTTGTATTTTTTCTTCAGTTTTAAGATGATAAGTTGAACATTCCGCTCCGCAATAGAGATTGATATAGAACACCCCCGGTGTGATGTCATTGCAAAGTATCAACTGTCA